GAGCGTCCCCATTACTAGCCTCAATGGCTCGGCTCTTCTAGCGTTAAGAAGGAACTTAAGCGCGTCTTGTTTGTTCTCCAGCGATCCGACTACTAGGAGCTGATTAATAGACTACGAAACGGCGTCTCTAGTCTCGAAAGTCTAATATCGTTAAACGTCGAGCTAGAGCGTAATCGGAACTGCCGTTCGAGAGGTAGAGTGTATAAGGTAGTCAGGAGCGCCGCGATAAGTGTTTATTATACCGTCCACGGTACCGTTACGTACGGTTGTCCAAGCCTTCACGACGTAGGACTACGTCTCACACCACAACCAGCAACCATTACCCCTAACGATAACGACGAAGATATTATTAAGAGCCTCAAATTCCATATTGCCGTATCGTACGCCTCGACCGTTATAGAGACCCATAGACACTAATAGGGAATTGTACGCCTATGGAATCAAGTGTTACTTCGCCCCATTAAGGTTGAAAAGCAGCTAGTACCCCAGGCGACCACAGCCTCCTTCCACATAGCAAGACCAGAGTCCCCAAGACCGAGCAAACGAGTCAAGTTCTCGTTCGCCTCGTCAACCACAACCGTAACCACTACGTCCATCATATCTATCACTACCACCACTCCCACCGCCATAACAACTAGCGGCGTCTCCAGCCCCGACGTCATGGAGATATAGTAGACACCAACCCTAATAACTGTCGGAAGAAGCCGCATTTGAGCCACAACTGGGCGCAGGTGGCGTATATGCTAGGCCACCTACGGCCTAGGCAATGTAAGCCGCATGCCGCTCAAAGCTACGGTATCAAGGCTATGCCCACCTTTCTTTCTTCTTCCTAATACAAGCACTCTTTTGCCCTGAGGATGCATACCGTTGTATGTGACAATAACCGCCCTCCGGCCACCCTCTAGCATTAGTAACCTCTACTAAGCCCTCCGACGGGCCCAAAAATAAGGTGCCGATAAGTGCTGCAGTCATATTATAGACCAAGCCAGTCTTATCTCCCGCAAGTTTGACGTATATCCCCTCGATAGCCTCGACGACGCAAATTGTACTACCTAGTCTATAGTTCCCCTGAGCGCCGTCCTAGGTGCCACCGGTAATGGCGATAGCAACTATATTAGCGGTAAGCTATACATCCCAATTACATATCTCGATCGACTGCGGCTCGAGAGCTATTCTTGTGTGAACCTCGCCGCGTGCCACCCAGACTTTCCGTGCTATAGCGCGTGCGTGCAGGTTGTTGTCGTTAGACCACTCTGCCACAATGCCTATTGGTCAACTTTTGATGAAGAGGTCTAGCTCATTGCCCGCTATGGAGCATGTCCCGTAGATGGGAATGCCAAGAGAGAGAAAGGAGAAGTAGAGACTGGGGACGGCAAAAAGAGAAGATGCTTGACAAGAGTGGGATTCGAACCCACGCCCTTTCGGACCACGCAGATGCCATATCGTGGATTAAGGATTGGAACTCCTTAACGTGGCGCCTTAGACCGCTCGGCCATCTTGCCTGTTGTTTGATGGAGGTCTGGTGTGGAAATGCGCGATTTGAAGGGAGACGCGGTGGAACTTGAGAGGCTTTTCTCCAAGTGCAAGCGAATTCAAGTTGTGTGTGGGTAGGGCAACGTGCTTCGAACAGCGGGCTCTGAGCCAGAAGAAGCCGCGCGTCAAACACACACCCCTCCTCCTCTGTGTCAGACGTCCAGAGGGGGCCCCCAAGATGAGCGCCCGTCTCCTGAGCATCTAGCTCTCCATCCGAAGCGTCTGGGCGTTATTGTTTGCTGGCCTTGTCTACCAAGATGTTGTCGTCTACTGCGAAAAGTCGACGACGGGGGCTGGAGTCGGGGGGCGGTATGTTCTCCTGGTTCGTGGTCAATGGTCTGAGAAGGCTTTGGTTTTGGAGGGGAAGTTGTTTTTTTTCGATACGAGCGAGATGACTTTGGCGCGAATTGGTCAACGTCTGTTGTCGAATCGCTCTCACATTGACGTCACCAGGAAGCTAGAATCTCTCTCGTGAACTGAATGGAGAGGTCTGTGCGGGGGACGTTTCTTTCTAGGATTTCGTGTGCTCCTTGTCGTCCCTGGAACGCTTTCTGCTGTTGATCTCTTCTGGTGTGGAATTGCTTCGGGGGACATGATGGGGGCTTTGATGAATAGGTGTAGGAGGAGAGCGTCTTGAACAAGAGGTATGGTATCAGCATGGAAGAGGGGCAAGTGCGAGAGGGAATCGGCTTCTTTCAAGTAATCGCTGCAGGACTTCCCATAAACGCTTCAGCGGTATGCCTTGGCTAATGGCTGGTCCGCTCAGCCGATTTCCCATGTCAGCCGTATGCCCACCCCACCTACCATCAGTAGATAAAGCCAGTTAATCCAGCCATTTCCCTCAACATCCTTTGAGCGAGTCGAACCCTCGATAGGTGGTCCAGTCCGAGTACGACGATGCGATACAACATGATGTAATGCGAGACGGAAAACATGACCACGACCGCACCGTGTGACGGCTCACCGTACCCATACCACCGGAACAAAAACGGGAGGACATGCGAGACCAGAACACATGTGGTTACCTGCTATTGGGTAATGGGAAGCAAAATGTTGGACTAGGAAGTGACGTGGATGCGCCGATGCATGACTGGGTCGGGTCATCTTCCGGGCTGGCTGGCTGCATGGCTTTAAAGGCCTGCCTTCCAGCTCCACACGCCTCGCCCTGCAATGCCAGTTCGTCTTCATCGTCGTCTCTCTCGACGAGGGGGAGTGTTGTATTCTTCCTCGGTGGTGTCTTCCTCCGTGGCAGCAGGCTCTAGCTCGGGGGCATGTGGGTCACCACCTCGGGCGAGTCGGCGTGGTGGGCACGACGACGAAACACGCACAGAGCTCCGTCAGCATCTTATGCAAATCTTCGGCAGTGGCCATGTTGGGTGGTGGGTGGCATAGTGGGTATTTAGATCAGGACAGTAAGGGAGTATGATGGAAGATGAAAGGAGACAGTTGCGATGAAGGATAAGAGTAACAGGGTAGTGAAGACAGACCTGGGGTATTTTATGCTTCTCTCAAATCCCACGGTGATAGGTGTGTTAGGGTTAAAGCTTTGGTCACAGGGCCGGCCGGTGCCGCCCCCCCTGGAACGTGGTCCTCCTGTCTACGGACTGTCAGCACTACCATGTAGATTTTGGGGGCCTGGATAGCACACCTGGAGATCAAGTGACGATCGAAGAGCAACAATCAGCGCTGATGCCTGGCATAAACCTTGCCATTCTCAATTCTTCTGCATCCTTCCTTCGGAAATGCATCACTCGAGCCCCGGTCTTGAAATGGAACAAGAAGCCTGTGACCCATCGCCCACAGCATGTGATATAACTAAAGGTCCCGCCACACCATCTGTACAGGGGCACATTGATGTATTGAGCGGCATTATGGAAACAAGTATTGGTCATTCGAGGTTCATATAGTACAACGGACACTCGACATCTTTCCCTTTCCTAATTTATATGAGGCCGCGAGAACAAGATGCCAGAACCTCGAAACCTCAAGGTCGCTCTACCCATAGTCCTCCCTTTCGTAATGGAATCAATGACAGCCAGATACAAGTATCTGTGTGCGGAAGGGGCTGGAATGTTGGGTTCTACCAGCAGTGTCTCGAGGAGAAGCTGTGCAACATCTTTTGTTCGGGGCTCCTGATGTGACAGTCCAAGCCATCAGCTGCACCGTCACATCGGAGATCATGGTCCTGATCTTTCGTGTCCGGAGGCTTCTTCAATATACGCCACGGCCATTGATGATTGACTAGCTTCTCGTTAGGCTGGCTTGCTGTCGACATAATGGTATAAAATTGACAAACCAAACTCCCGAGTGTGCGCGTATCGCAAGGCAGTGCTCATTAAAAAGGCTCCAACCAGTCATCTGACGATACTTGGAACAGGCTGCCATGGTGGTGGAGCGAACATTTTGAACTAGCTTCTAGCTCTGTCAGTCTACAGCCTCACTACTACCTCACTACTGCCTCAGGTCGCCATGGGGCCCATAGTCTTTGTCCTTTTAGGCCTAGCCCTCGAAATCCTGGGGCTTAGGGAAGGCAAGAGAAGATGCACTGCAACGTAGAAGCTACGAGCACGGCACGGCACGGCACGGCAAATTCCAAAGCGCCGAGGAGGCCATGCCTGAGCGGAAAGAAACCTGGCGCCGGATGGTTGGATTACAGCCGGACCTAGTGATATAGGAAGAGAAACGAGAAACGAGGAAGCAAAGCGGCCAAGTGTGAAGACCAAAGATGCTTCCCTCCTATTTTAAGCTTATTTCTTCTACTTCTAGGCTTTAAATACTAACTTATAATATTGAATTTAGTATAGAGGGCTATCTATAATGAGTAGTTGCATCTCTATAAGAGCCTTCTTCTGGCATTTCTCAGAGTCTTCTTCCAAGGTTATTATTTCTTCGTGGCCTAGCTTAGTTAGATACGTAGAAACTCGTATCGACCAAGTGGTATAGTTATCTGCTCCTTCGAGCTTATCGACGATAATTGTCTTTGAAGTCATTATATCTTTCCTTGAATTTTGGGAAAGGGTTTTGTATTGAGCCTCTAAAAGAGGTTTGTTGAGTCTTGATAACTGGAACCTGTACCGGCTAAGCCGGGCTCATAACCTGATGAAAAGTCCCTAAAAGGTGGTATTGGGATAGAGGTTTGGGCTCTGTAGGTGGAAGGATGAGGGTGCAAGTCGTGAAGGAAGATTTGTTGTGATCAAGAGTTTTGGTCAAGGATTGTGGGTCCTATAGTTAAAATAAGGTACCTGGCAAGTTAGAAAGGGGTCGCTGAACGGTGCCTCAACAATCCAAAGGCGAGTGATTTAATGGTACGATATCTGTTTCGCATAATCTATTCAATCCTGCTTACAGAAGGTCCCATGTTCAATTTGCGGTTCGTCCATTGCAGCATCCTCTCTTTCTCTCTACTCCTACCTGGCATCAACAAAACTACGATAAATGCCATAACCTTCATAATGATATATTTATTATCTTCCGTAGTATAGTGGTTAGTGTGTGAGCTTGTCATCTTGAAGAAGATTCTCTTGAGACCCAGGTTCAATTCTCGGCGGGAGAGGTGACTTGACGGGGGAGAGAGGTTGAGGGGGCGCTGTTTCTTTTTTGCTATTTTGTTGGTCGAGTTCCGACCTTTGGTGCTTGTGAGAAAGGAGGCTTAATGACGGCTGGACTTTTTGTGTTTGTAATATGCTTGATACTTCAGTGTGAGATAGAGATGGAGACGAATGAAGTTAAAATTACTTGTCCGTCCGTTACATCGTAGCTACCATCTCCATGTCCCGCTCTAGAAACCCAATAACCTCAAAGAACGCCGCATTCTGCTGTGTGACTCCATTCTCATCCCTGCCTACCTCCCCGTGGTAGAAATCCTGCCTGATACACGTCCGCACGGCGTTGTGATAGTTGGACCCGGCCAGTATGCTCACTCTGTCCAGCAGCCTCGTGATGGCCTGATAATCACCTAAAGATCCCGGGACAGACTGAAGAGACGCCCCTAAATTCATGTCATCGCTCGGGCAGAGTCTGTGCATTGGCTGTCCGATGATGAGCTCGATGAGTAGTACTCCCAGCGCGAGGAGTGCTGGTTTTCTTCCATCCGACGTGCCGGCAGCTGTTATTCTCCCGCACCCAGTCGGCCCCGTTCTGTCTGGAAACGGCCGCAGCACAAACGCGTCCTGACGAAGCATTCCGTCGTCTTGCTGTACGAGAAATATGTCTTTGTGTGTTGGTGAGTTGTCTAGCCAGGGTGTACTTTACAGCTGTACGACGCTCGAAGCAACTATCCATACCACACCCGTCCTCCTCGATGCCCTTCCTGGATAATAAAGCAGACCAAAGCCACGTTGGTTGAATCGGTTTCAGGATGAGACGACGGGGGCGGCCCGTCGTTCCGAGGCCCAGCCCACGGATGCGTTTCAGAGGGGAGGATCTAACGTGGATAATGTCCCTTGATGTTGACGTTTTGGGGCGGTTCGATGATGTTTTTCTGGTGGACGTCCCGGGTCAAGTTGAGGATATGGATGACGTGGAGAGAGTCTGGGGCTCGAGGAAGAAGAAGCTGCAGGCAGGGGCGCTGGCAGCCCATGGCTGGACGGATGTTTTCTCGAAGCATTTTCATGGCGTTGAATTTACTGGGTATTTTGTGTTGCGAGTCGGAGGAATAGCGCCGTGCTGTGCTTTGGAGTCCAGGATCATACGTCAATGCAGCTGTATCATATGGGAATCTTGGGAGTTGCGGGATATTTCGTGCCGTTGTAATTCAGGTCGTTTGATCGCGTGCCCTGGAGAGCACTTGAACCTGCATTCCAGAACCGAATTGGGTGGCCGTGCTCGCCGGCAGGTTCCACGACGCTCCCATCCTCTCCCTACCGGCCTCGCGGAACCGCTCAGACGTGGCCCTCGAGGAGCACACCGACGTCTGGGACACCACCGAGATAAGTGACAAACAGGAGTAACAAACATAAATGCAAGGAGTCAAACATGAAATCGATGAGTGGTAAGCATGGGGACAAACAATGATAAATATTGACAAACATGTGACAAATATGAATGTCGAGCACGAGTGAACGGTCCAGTTTTGAATGCACAAACATGCATGCGATGTGTAAACATGCCATCGTTGAGTTCCGCGAGTGGACAGCAAACGTGTTAGTTGCAAACATGAGTTCCACGACAGTCCAGTTTGAGTGCAAACATGCAGAGTGCAAACGTCGACCAGCCCCAACCCCGTCGATCCTGGGGTCCTGTGGGGGCCAGCCAGCCCCGAGGATCCTGCGTGTTACAGTTCCCGCCCAGTGAAAGTGTACGGTTGTCGCATTGTAACCAAGACAAACAATGATGGTCTGGGGGGCCAGGAGTTAGGGTCAGCCCCAATTTGGATTCATCGGCCTTCGTCAGGCCTGGTCGTGTGCCCCTGATTGCAAATTTTCTCATAGAATAATCAGCAGACCTATCCATTTTCACAATAGAAGACAAGCGGGAGCGTTTTTGGTGAAATGACAAATCAGGACAGCTCGCTCAGTGAGAACTCATCTGTTAAATGGGACTCGGACGGGATTTTGACGCTCTCCCTAGACTCCATCAAACTAATGTCGTGCGCAGGGCGGCGGTCGTTTCTCCGTCTCATAATTGTCCCTTTGCGGCTGCTAGCACCATTGACGGCACCCGAAGGCGCTTCCTCTTTGGTTTTTGTGACTCGACACGAGACACGCATCATTTCCCACCAAAATATTTCCTCGAAAATGTACACGGGACTCAGACAGAGCCTTGCCGCTCGATTTGGACTCTATCAAACCGATATCTCTCACAAAGCAGCGGTGGCTTTTCCTGTCTCATCATCGCCCCTTCCACCGGATGGCACTATAACGCCCAAAGGCGCCTCCTCGTTGGTCTCGCGGGCGTCTGACCCCACCAGGGGTCGTCCGCTCTTTCCCCAGTATCTCGGACAAGCTAACACCCACATTCACGTCGGTCTTTCCCCTAGAATGGTCTCTCGGGCATTTAGGGTCAATCCTCTTACCTCTTGCCTTTTACCAACAAAAATTAGTCGAGTGGCCGAGCGGTTTAATGATGACACCTAAACACCAGCGCGGCTGCTAGCTGTCTAAGGAACGGTCGTTCAGATCTGGCTCGTGGCACCCTTCAAAAGGGGCGCAGGCGATGATGAATAATAAAAGAGCTTTGATCTGGGTACCCCAACCAAAAATCGGCGTACCCCCCTATGGGTCATTGGCACCTGGCAACATAGGGACCGCTTTTTGTATGGTAAAATGCCGTATTTCTTAGCAGCCACCCAACGGCCTACCGGGCACTAAGGTAGCCCTATAAAGTAAAAATGACACTTTCATATGCCCGAAGTAATACGCGTACTTGGTGGTTTAGGTTCTGTAAAAGAGCTGGAGATTGACTCGGACTCCATCGTCGTTAGTAAAGGGCCAAGCCCAAGTAGAGGTCAAAAGAAGAAGGCAATATAGTAGAAAGGAAAAGGAAAGAAAAGAAAGACAGCGAAGAAAGCGAGCCAGCCTGCCAGGGTAAGCCGCCGGGAGCCCGTAACCAAGACCCCGGTTCCTAATCCTCACCTCAATAATATAGAGGTAATAGAGTGGTAGGGACGCAGGGCTTAACGCAGGCGCTCTTAGGAGGCTTCAAATACTGAAGAAGGTGCCTTCTTTAATTCCGGGATGAAGATGACGCTTTTCCTCGTAAGGAGGATTTCTTCTAGGTTGATAGACTTAATACTAAGGAATTGTATTACTATATTAATATACTAGATTATTATTGGACTAGATTACCAAATTGCTATACTTAATACTAAGAAATTATATTACCGTATTAATAAATCGGGATTTAACGTATTACCCGGGTAGCTAGGCGTATCTTATGATATTTGACTAATTTAGGTATAAATCCGGGCTTCAGAGTTGCTATTTATAAGCTATTTTTTTTTTCGGACGGATAGTGCTTAACTTTCTATGCGATGGTGTGCATAAAGGTAAAGGGTGATGCTCTTCAGAGGGTATTGATGAAGGGAAGAAGAGTTTGAGTGCTATTACGAGGAGGTTTGGTATTTTATATTGTAGTTCTGGGACCTTGAAGGTTGGGTTTGCCGAGGTTGCTGGTGTGGGAGGCGGTGTATGCTTTGGGGTTGTGCGGTGAGTTTTGCTGGGTGTCGAGTGAAAGCGTAGAACTTGGCCTAAAGTAAAGCTAAAAAGGTGTGCGTATTTGTGGTAGATTAAATCACCTTTGACGCAGGTGTGGGTGCTTATCCACGTTTCATCGCGTGGCACCCGAAAGCTTCCACTCGGCCGTAAAAAACTTTGAAGCTCAAAAACCTGCAAGTCCTTGTTCACCTTATCTACGTAGGCTAAATTACTACAAAAAGGACCGGAGGGGCATGCTATCCAAGCGCCCGAGCCAGCATACTCAGCGGCCCGTAACCGTATCGGAGCCCAGAAACAACAAGGCCGGAAAGGATGGCAACCGCAATCTCTTGGCCGACAAATCGCGACTGGAGACAGACTACACAGCACCATGTCCAGAGTGTGGTACGGACTCGTTCATCAGTCTTCGCTTCGCCGGAGTAGGGGACAGCTAGAAGAGAAAGGCAGGAAGGATCGCCGTCCGACCGACAGCGAAAAAAGCCCTAATCGATATGTGTTTGGGCATTGTGAAAGACGTGGGGTTGGGAGCAAAATTTAGAGTGGGAGCTGGTATTGGTGGTTGGATTACTGAGAAAAATATACCTAGCACGCGCTCGACAAAAAAAAGGCACACCAAAAGCATGATTTTGGTGACAGCCCCACCCAGGGGATGGGGGGCCCTCAAGCAATCAACAATTAACAAATGGGTTAATAATATCCCTCAGATCCTTAAGGACTGCATAGAACTAGAAGGCGTAATTACAGGGCATCAAAATGCAATTGGTTTTATCTGTTTTGGCCTACATTTGGCTGTGTTCTGGATGCTCAAAGTAGTGGGGTTATGTTTTGGTGTGCCCTTTTTTTTGGTCGGGCGCGTGCCTGCCTCTCGGATCCGGGGAACTGAAAAGCTTTACCTGCTTGGCCGGCGCTAATAGCTCCTACTAGATAGTAGTTATGGCTACTAACAATGCTAATTAGTGGTAGTGGAAGGTTATGCTCACCAATACAAACCACTTTTCGAAACACGGAAGGCTTAGAACAGAAATCGACACGAAATAAATCTGGTACAGACGGAGACCGGAACACACGGAACATAGTATAGACCAGTCTTTGTCGTATTCATCTTGCCCTTCATCGCTCACCTGCCCTTGTCGGCAGCTAACCATTCTTGTTGGCCCACGGTCCCCTTGGCCCGACCCCCCTGGGGGTCCCTTTGAGCCTCCTTGGCCACCCTCAGGCCCCCCTCGCCGCTCTTCGCTAACCTTCGGACATGTGGAGAGATGGCTGCTCTACGGGTTCCTTCGGGGATTCCTTTGACGCTTGCACTTTCCTGCACGGGGCATTTGGCCCCCCATTTCGCCCACCTTTTCACCCGCACAGATGGTCAACTCTCGGAACGTGCTACAAGCTGCTCGCAAAG